CAGGGCTGCCCAGATGATGGTAATTGGGCTTGAGGAGTCCTCCAAACGTCCCTAGATGCTGCCTCCGCCTCCACAGGGTGCTGTGGTTATAGTGCTATGAATCCATTTTAACTGCCATTGTGGCATCCTGTGAAAACCTGGGATTTATAGTTTGGTGAGGCACCAGAGCTTCCTGGCTGAGAATGTTAAGTTGTGTTGGTGTCTTCAAGTTGTTTCTGACTTCTGAGGATATTATGGCGACTCTGTCATAGGGTCTTCTTGGCAAGATTTGTTCAGAGGGGGGTTTGCCTGTTCATTCCTCTGAGGCGGAGAGAATGTGTCTTGCCCAAACTCAGTGGGTGTCAATGATTGAGTGATGATTCAAACCCTGGTTGCCAGAGTCATAGTCAAGCACTCAAACCACTACATCACACTGGGTCTTCAAGCATTCAGAATACCCCTCATTAAACTGCAACTCCCAGGATTCCATAGAATGGAACAGTGGCAGTTAAAGTGGAATCATAGTCCATCATAATATAGTGTGAATGAGCCCCTGATTTTCTACTGCTCAAGAGTTGTTGTTCTATGCCTTCAAGTCATTTCTGACTTATGATGATCCTAAGGGGAACCTTATCATGAATTTCCTTGGCAAGATTTGTTCAGAGAAGGGTTGCCTTTGCCTTCCTCTGAGGCTGAGAGAATGTGACTTGCCCAACATCACCAATGTGTTTCTTCCAGCTAAGTAGTAGAAAGAACTTCTTGATAAGAGCTATTCAACAGTGGAACAGACTACCTTGGTGGACAGTGGACTCTTCCTTGTTGGAAGTTTTCAAAAAGAGGTTGGATGGCCACCTGTCAGGAATCCCTTAGCTGTGGATTTCTGCACTGTAAGGAAGTTGGACGAGGTGATCACTGGACGAGGTGATCATTACAGTTCTATGATTCTGATCATCCCAATCATTTTGACTTACAGATAAGTATAAAAATAAAACATCTTTGTTTCTCTGACAGTGAAATTTCTCCACAGGGATGATCTATACTCTCACATGTCATATAGATGAGGATTTCCCCCCTTCACCTCACTTGTTTCCATAAATTCCTTACAGTGCATTTCCAATGACACAAAATATACCAGCTTTCACATTTTTTGTATAAGGAAACTTGATTTTGATGGAATAAGTGAGCTGTCTCTTTGTTTTTTAAACACTGGATCTTCTGAGACTTTGGTGGGAACTAAAATATTAAAAGATAGCACACTATAAAATCAGTTATGGTCAAAACATCTGATCCAATATTTCCAGCATGATGGCATGTTGGAAAGCCAAGCTGACAGTTTGATGGGTTGCCTTGGAAGCTGCCAGAGTGGCACAACCAAATTTGCCAACTCCCAGATATAGTTCCGGGGGAGGGAGAAAAAGGTTTGCACTGAACGTTGGAGACATATGAGAAAAAGAGAGAGGTTTAAAATCTAGGGTGCAGTTCTATAAACAGTTACCTGGGGAAAAGGCCCATAGGGACTTCCTTCTGAACATTATTCCCCTGAACTAGTCATTATTCACCTGGACTACTCAGGAAGCTCCAGAGAAGTAAATGAGAAGCTGAATACTTGTTTGAAGCAATGGAGAAGGTGCTACCCCTTCCCTCAGTTCACACACAGATAGTGGGTGTAGTACCAGTTCTTACATCCCTACTGCCAGTGGGATAGGAGCCTAATGCCTACTGTTAGTTCTGACTTGAACAGAGCCATTGAATCAATGGATTTACCTACACTTTGACTCACCAGTCAATCATTGATTTAATAGGTGTACTCTTGTTGTTGATGATGCATGTCTTCAAGTAATTTCTGACATGTCAGTCTATCAAGCAGTTTTCTTGGCAAGATTTGTTCAGAGGGGGTTTGTCAGTGCCTTCCTCTGAGGCTAAGAGAGTATGACTTGTCCAAGGTCACCCAGTGGCTTTCCATGGCTGAGCAAGTACTTGAACCCTGGTCTCCAGAGTCAGTGCCCTACTCTATCTACCAACAGGGCCAACAGTGAATAGAAGCTACAAAACAAAAAGAAAAAAGAAAAAAGAAAAAAATAGGGAATTTAAGGTAATAAAACAAAAGCAAAAACAGTTACTCCAACAAACAGTATGGAATCCATAACATAGGGGCTAAGCAGACGGTGCACCTTTGGTGATTTGTGGAAGGAGTGCTATTTTACCACTCCTTCCAGGGGTGGCAAAGCCGCGCCGCGAGGCCAAGGTGTGTGGATACCTCGGCCCCGCGGCACAGCTTCCTGGGGCGGCCCTGTGCCTCCCATCTGCATCCTGATACTGACATCTAAGCTGGAGGGGTTTGATTTCCAAAACCTCAGGCCACTGTCCTAACTAGATGAAAAGATCAGAGTGTTTTGTTTTGTTTATATGGCTACAGGCTTCACAGCATTAATCAAAGCCACTGTGGTAACTGAAGAGCATGGCAGATTTCTAAAAAAACAAGATGTTAACTCTAAACACAACAAGAGTGCAGAAAACACAAAATTTGGTGGAGTGAGACCCTCAAGCAGAGTAGGGTTGCTTTGATCCTGGTGGTGCTCCAGTGGTGGTAGATGCTTTCTCTCTGCTCTAATGCCAGTGATTTTGTGTGCTTGACTTTCAGTGAAATTACAACTGAATTCCTTATATTCTGCTCTGCTATTATGGCCCTTTAATCAGATGTGTTTTAGGCTTCATATTTTTTCAGATTTAGGATATTTGCATATACACAATGAGATGGCTTTGCAATGGGACTTAAACATTAAATTCATTTATTTTCATATACACCTTATACACATCACCTGAAGGTAATTTTATACAATATGTTAATTATTTTGTCCATGAAATAAAGTTTGTGTACATTGAACCATCAAAAACAAAGGTGTCACTATTTCAGTCACCCATGAAGAATTTTTGGATGTGGGATCATTTCAGATTTTTGGATATTGTTGTTATTATTATTATTATAGTTTATTTCTAAAGTGCTGTCAATATACACAGCGCTGTAAAAAGAGAAAATCAACATAAAATAGAATAAAAACCTGCCAGAGGCGTACAATCTAATACAAACAATAGGTTAAATAATGTCAATTAAAACAAAAAACAATACAACAATTAATTAACAATTAATCTCCCCAAGGCTCGAAGTGGAGTATGGGATACTAAACTTGTGCTAGTAAAATAATGAACAACATGCTTTATGTTGGACAATAATGCAATCAGAAGTTCCCATTCTCATTCCTTTTCAGAAAGAAGAAATTAAAGAGTTCCTTTCTTTTTTTAAAAAAAAAAATGATAATGATTTCCTAAGGGTAGCAAACTGCTTCAGTGATGCAGTGGCACCATTAGGGGTGTGCAAGGAGTTCAGACCACACTGAGTGACACCATCAGAGGGAGTGACACCAGGCAGCAGTGAGGTGCCCCAAGGTTACTTCCTAGAAAAAAGAAGGGACTCTTGTTGGCATTCCACTCCCCTTGGGGGGGGGGGGGCGGATAAAGGGTGAAGCCACTGACATTTCTCTTTGTGTGTCCCCCAGCAGCTTCCAACCCTCTATCTGTTTGGTTCCTTTCTGTCATGATCGGGTGGGGGCTATTTTCTGTGACTTCCTCTTTCCTTGAGATTTGAGATCTTTTATAATAAGAAAACTTTTCCTGCTCAAGGGAGTGTCTTGACCTTGCTTTCTTAGTGGGGCGAGGCAATGGAGGCAGGTTCTCTGGGGTGATACCATTTTCCCTATCCACACCTCTATCCCAGGAGGTCCATGGGTTTGACACCCTGAGTTACTATATTAGGTGACACCAATCCAAGTGATGTCACTGGTGGTTCTCTCAGATTATACCTGTAATTTTTACTTTTAAATGTAACTTTCCATATTTTGAGCACAGAGTCCTGGATGAGAACTATTTATTGATTCTATAATAATAATAATAATAATAATAATAATAATAATAAAAAATTTTTATTTGTATCCCGCCCCTCTGCACAGCAATCGAGGCATTCTCCATCTTGTTCTAACAATACTACAGCCAGCATCTCTTTTTCTGTCTTCATAGGCTAAACCAGGGACTGGCAACCTACAGCCTGCGGGCTGGTTAAGGCCCAGGTCCCCGTACTTACTGGCCCAGGTGGAAGGTCACCGCCACCGCCGTGTGTTGGGGTGTGTGCACACATGCCCAGCGGTGGAGGGGACTTTGCAAGACCGGCCCCTGGCTCCAAAAGGTTGCCTACCCCTGGGCTAAACCCTGTTACAAAACTGAGGAAGAAAAAAAATTGCATACATGTGTGTAATATAAAGACAGATTAAACTGACTCCAGAGAATCATGTAAATTCAATAATTTTTCCTCCTTTCTCTGTGTATCAGGGATGGCTTTTCCCTCTCCCTTCCCCCTTTCTTATTTCTTCTTTCTTCTGTGACATTAATTTTATTTCTGACTTGCTATAATTTATTATTGATACAGAGATTAAAGATTGAATAGATATCAAACAAAAAGGCCAAAGTACATGGATTCTGTTATTCTTTTTATGGGACCAAACTATTGAGGTTGCAGCAAAGTAAACTGAGCAACATGTAGTACATACAGCTAGTGTGCCATGTCAGAGACAAACATTTGAAGGACACATACTTGATACCACAGGGGAGAGAAAGATAGATTCCTCTTCCTGCTGGTCTTAAGAGGATTTGTTGTTGTTGTTGTTGTTGTTGTTGTTGTGTCCCTTCAAGTTGACCCTTATGCAAACCTATCACAAATAGGGCACGTTTCTTCAGAGGGGGGTTGTCATTGTCATCTCTGAGGCTGAGAGAGTATGATTTGCCCAAGGTCACCCAGTGGGATTTCATGGCTGAGCTGGGATTCAAACCCTGGTCTCCAGAGTTATCATCCAACACTCAGACCACTACACCACTCTCCCTCCTTCTATATATACAGAGAGA